ATTGGATGGGTGACCAAAAATTTACTATCTCGAGCTCCTCTGTGCTTCGGAGAGCACGTTAAGCCGTTGGTCTCGGCTGCATCTGCAGTCGTTAGTAACCACCAATCCGCACTGGACCCGAGTGGTGGATCATGGTCCAATCTCCCTATTCCATGCATAGGGAAGGCCTGTGCCCCAGCAGTGGGGACTATAATAGGCTGATGATGATGTCGGAATAATCCTGAAAAGGATGCGAAACGTCAATAAATAAATAAATTCAGTACATTTAACTCGTAAAAACTAGTTTTATTTAATGAGTGATGTGCGTGAAATACTGTAAGACACAGCAATCAAAATGCAGGTAAGGTGAACAATTAATGTAAGGCAAGTGATACAAATTAAGCCTACCTAATTCCAAACACTCATATCTTGATTAATTATTTGAAGAAGGTGATAAATAAAAGCAAGGCATCATTCCTTGGTTCATATTTTTTTTAGTATTTAAGAAAACACTAGCAAACCAGTGAACCAAATGTTCACCAAAACCTGATTTCTCGAAAACCGGAAGTGCTACGTTACTCAAATCCGGTTTGTAGTCTTATCAGACTATTCTTAACTTATAACTTAAATATTCTCTTTATCTATCTGTTACGGTTTGGCCGCTGAAACAGCACCACAGACAGACGGACTTGTCTAATAGATAAGAGATAATACAATCTATTATCAGAAATCACTTATAAAGAGCTAATTCTGGAACCTTAGACTAAGGCCTTTTAAAAACATAGTGACTTAACAAAAGCCTATGTACTTAAATTATAGGAATATTGTTATTAGAGTATAAATTATATTAAAATGTGTATTTCTGAGCCTTTAATCATGTTTACATGAGAACTTTAACAACATTCTAATTTATTTTACTAAACATTTTGTTTAAGTTGCTAGGCAGATTTGAAGTCGTATTTAAAATGCGACTCCAATTCTGACTAACAAAGAGATAAAGAATAATATAAAAAAAACATATTCATACAAACAAACATTTGCAAAATAACATATGTTCTCGTAAATATTATTAAATATTAGAAAATGAATGTATTTTGATAGATATATTTGATAAAATTAAGGCCTTAAATAAAATTAGTTTATTTAGTACATTACACTTCATAAAAGTTATAAGTAGTATAATTCGCATATTCTAAAAAGTTTAATTTTAAGTTTAACTTTAAGATTAGTTATATTGTGATCCCTATACATTACATGAAACAAAACTTCAAAGAATAACGTATTAAAATTCGTTAAAGATTACGACAAATTAATAACGCGCTATGAAAAGCCCGTCCTTCACAAAGTACCGCCACTACTGACGCTATGAGCTCGAGCGGACCGCTCGTGCACAGTTTGCCGAGTTGTACAACTGTCATCTATGCGTGTGTAAAGTATTTTTGATGTAAACATATTTTAATAAACTTTTCTGCATTACAGGCCTTATTTCAGCATAGGCCTTATTTGTATCAGCTATACCTTATATTTCACATTATGTAATGAGAGGTGACTTCATGAATCATCTCTGAAGTCATTTTTCAACTTGACGACTCTGTAAATAATAAAACAGGGAGAAAAGTACAGCCTTTGCTGAGTTTCTTGCCGGTTCTTCTCAGTACAAGGTCTCCCGCCGTAGATTTACGAACCAATGGCGTAGCTTCTAGACATTTATGAGTGCTTGTAACAGCCTAAACTGAATAAATGATTTTGATTATGATTATTATTTTTACGATTTTAATGTACTTTTTATTACCCACTAATATTTAATGTTTTATTGTACCTATTAATAACTTTACTTATGTATCAGTGATTGTGATAAATATGAAATCGATCAAAGAAAACGCTTCACAATTATTAGATATGTTACCCTAGCAGTAGAGATTAAAAGGCTGAAAAATCGCTTACATAAAAAAAAATTGTGCACGGAGCACTCATCTGAAGTGAAACTTCTTTTCAGTAACCTAACATTAGGCGGTGAATAAGACATGCAAAGAGGGGGGCGGCGGAGGGAGCTACACGGGCATGCCCAAGTAGTCCTCCGCAGCGGACGGGGAGCGGTACGGTGGGCACTAGGCCGCGTATTTTTCCCCCACGCGCGGGCCATCCTGCGCACGTCTGCGGGGTCCCCGCAATACCTCGGGAGACCCCTGCCGTGGAGCCCCAGCTAGGCCGGGAGGCTGCTGGGTGCGGAGACGCGGAAGAATCCCTAAACGGGGATCCCGCGGTTTCGCACTAAGCAGCTTAAAGGGTATTCGCAGGACTTTTTTAGCGGATATTATACCGTAAAGCGCCCGTAAGAGTTGCGGGGTCCTCGGTGGGCAGCCACTGTGGGGTTCGTAAGGTATTCGCAGGACTTTTTTAGCGGATATTATACCGTAAAGCGCCCGTAAGAGTTGCGGGGTCCTCGGTGGGCAGCCACTGTGGGGTTCGTAAGACTTGCGGGAGCCAGGTGTGAGGTCCGTTCGGCGGTGTGCCTCTTAAAGGCGCCGTCGTCTGTAAATAGATTTTTTACCTGCGTATTAAAAAAAAAAAAAAGGCGGTGAATAAGGCAAAGGGGAATGACGCAGCGCACGCATCACTCATATTTGTTTATTTATTCATTACATTTACAAAAGGATGGTACAAAGTTGTCTTGCTCTGTTCATGTAGGCAACGAATGAATTTTAAACGAAATTTCGCCAGTGACTCTACTCTATTTCATCTTCGAACACGCACATAAAGTTGGGAATCACAGACAATTATCGTGAACGTATGGAATGAGTTATGTTTGTGAGTTCTTTAGGTTCTTCGTGTAACACTTTGAAGTATTGGGAATACAATAATAAACAAAAAATTGATTTATTTGTAAATTTTTCATGCTAAAAAATGTTCCTCACGCTAAGCAGCCTTAATTAAAAATACTCTAGTAGTAATTTTAGGTTTAATTTAAACAAAAATCCCAAAACGAAAATGAAAAGGCAACACTCATTTCGTCAATTTGAGGTTAAAATTTCGAACAATTATCTGTCAAATTCAACTTTTTTTATGTCCTCATTTGTTATTTTTGTACAAACTTATTTGTTAGTACTATAGTTGTGTTTCTGCATGTTTGTTGTTTTATAACAATTTGTTTTGTGTAGAAGTTTGTGTGTGTGATAATTGTTACACCCGGATTTGACATTTTGGGATCCCTACTTTTTCCTTGGATTTGACATCCATGATTTAGACTTTTTTCGTTCAATATTTTTGACGATTTGTTTGGTTTACCACTTTGTTTTGGTAATTTGTTTGCCCATATTTGTGGACATCAATTATTTGTTTTTGCACATCATGTTCGGAAGTTCGGTGGTGTTGTGCCGATCATGAAGTTGCAATTTCGACTTTTTGTTCAACATTGTTGACGCTTTTTTTGGTTTTGCCATATTGTTTTGGTATTTTGTTTGCCCATATTTATGGACATCAATTGTTTGTTTTTGTGCTTCATGCTCGGGAGTTCGGTGGAGTTGTGCCGATCATGTAGTTACAACTTTTGTTTTGGGTGCTTCATGTCCGGAAAGTCGTTGGTGTTGAGTCGGCCATGAATGTCACGTTTTGGTTTTCGCCAAATTTTTTGCTGTTTTGACTTTCGTCACTACATTTTTTTTGTCGAACTGTTTGTTCTCGACGCCTTTTGCACATCATGTTCGGAAAGCCGGTGGTGTTGTGCCGACCATGATTGTGACTTAAATGAGTTTGTGTCAATTTTGCCACTCATCTCGAACTTTTTGGGGATTTAACTAATAGTACTTGCGACTTTTTAGTATAGCAGTACTGGGGTGGGATTTTTCAGAGTCTGCGACATAGTTGTCTAACAGATCTCCCAAGAGTTGGTAGTAGGAGTAGATTGTAGTTTTCTGTCTGTGACCTGGTTGTCCAACAGACCTTCAGAGATTAATGTTAAGAGTAGTAGAGTAGTAGTTTAAGAAATTTTAGGAGTCTGCGATTTTAATATCCAACAGATCTCACAGGGGTTTAGGTTTTGAAGGAGTTTTAGTTTAGGAAATTTTAGAGTCTGCGACTTAGATGTCAACAGATCTCACCAGGGTTTAGTTAGAGTAGTTTGAATTTAGAGATTTTTTAGAGTCTGCGACTTTTTATGTTCGACAGATCTCAATAATGATGATGATAATGGTTGAATTTTTTTTGTAGTAAGCTTTGCATAATTTTATTTTAGAGCATTTTGCTTTAGGTTTTTAATAATTTTGGGTCTGTGACTAATTTAGTTCAACAGCTTTTGTTTTGAGACTTGTGACTTTTTGTCCAAGGACTCTATAGTTAGATGATGTTTTGGTATTTGGATAACTTTATTTGAAGTTATTTTCTTTTCACTTTGGGTTTTCGTTTTCATCCATAATTCAACGGATTTCGTTTTGGCTTTTAGTATTTGGACTTTAGCTGTAGTTTTTTCAGCCTCGATTCTCGATGCTTTATTCGGGGAAGGGTGAAATGTAACGTGTTAAAAACGTCACATGGATCTCCTTCGCTCGAAGAGCGAGATAGAAGATTTTTTTTGGTTGTCTCTCTGGTCGTTTTTTATCTCGCGCCCATTTTCTTTAATCTGTGCACTTTTGGGTAAGTGTGTTTCTGCCTTTATCGAGCAGTAGGCTGAATGGACATTGTTCTCTTTGCCTACCGCCCAGACAAACTAAGAAAAGAACTGTCACTTCACTTCACGACCAAAAATTTTACATAAAACATGTAAGAATCTAAATCGTAATTTTTATCATGATAATCCATTGGATTTTCAATTGTTTTTGATGATGTAACATTTTGCACCTTTTGTTCGGAACGGCGGGTATCGCATTCCAAGCTTAATTTGTTTAAAAAACGCGAAAAGCGTTTTTTTTTTTATTTGGATTTTATAATCAGCTTTCAACATTTCCCATGATGAGAAAGTGAACAGTCCCGTGATGTAACAGCGACATCCCTTAAGTATTATAACACCAGACATAGCCACTACACAGATGCAACAAGTTCGGTAACTTTCCAAAGTCATTGTTGTACCGGAACCCATAAGGTAAAATTTTCATTTACATCTTTAGCAGCCATAGTATAATAAATAGTTTCTAAATTTAGCAGTAACCCTTTTGGACTTAAGTAGTTTTGTAGTAAATTTAAATAAATCGACAACCCAAAATGTATATGGTTTTGCAATCAAGCCTTCTCTTGTGATTAATAGTCCATTGCTTTCCCGGCTAATATGGTTTAATAATATGGTATGGGTCTGGCGCCCGAGTATTCTTCTTTTTTTCATTAATTTCGACCTATCCATTTAAAGTAAATTTCTCTCAAACTTTTTATTTTTTAATATTACAAGTTCAAAAGTTTTGTAAATTAGAGTTGGCTTAGAGAATTTTTAATGTCAAACTATTTTCGGACGAACGAATTTTCGAAATGAAATAGAAACAGAGTAAGGAACGTGCGAAATTGCGATCGAAATTTCGTTTTTCATTGAAATAGAGTAGGCCTCCTGGTGTAGAACAGGTTTATCCTATTGCAAGCACCAGTCTTCACATTAAGTAATTAAATATTGTAATTAAGCAATTTATTGTAAATGTTTTTTTTTTCTACTTATGTGAAGAACTTAATAAAGAATTTATTGTTATTATTTTAATGTCCTTACAGGTAAAAACCCAATGCGACAATGAAGCCATTTAAAACAAAAAATAACTTATTAGGTATACCTACATTAAACTACAAAAATTACAAGTACTTAATAAAATAAATAACACTTCTTACGCATTAAACAATAAAAACATTTAATTATTTAATAAACAGACATGCAACAATTGAATTCATAATAATAATAATACAATAATAAATAATAAAACGCTCTATTGGGATCGGCCTGTCATTACGGACAGGACTATAATTGCCAATAGGCCTGATATCGTATTGACAGATCGATTGAAACGCCAGGCAGCGCTCATCGATATCACCATACCGCATGACGAGAACCTCGTGAAGGCCGAGAAGGACAAGCTCAGCAAGTACCTGGACTTGGCCCACGAGGTAACCGCTTTGTGGGATGTGGATTCAACGTTCATTGTCGCTATAGTCGTTAGCGTAAACGGTCTCATAGCGAAGAGTCTCGACCAACATCTAAAGAGTCTCTCGCTAGATGGTTGGGTCAATGGGCCGATGCAAAAGGCAGCACTCCTAGACACGGCGCGCATTGTCAGGCGGTTTCTTTCTCTGAATAGAATTTCGTTTACTGTACCCCGTCATCACCCCTATTATGTTTTTTTTAAAGTTGGTCTTCCATGGTCCACCCACCTTATTTGTTATTAATTGGTACAAGCTTATAAGCCTCGTGGAGTCTTTTTTACGGACTGGAGGGACGATCTAGTGTAGTTTAAGCAGGTTGCCTGCTACCACTATGGCCACCCTGCTTTAACTTCACTGTTTATTTCTCGCGCTTGTTTTCTGAGGCTGAATCTGAGTGCACTCTGGCAGTACCCTATTGTTTTAGTGACATAGCGTCCCTAATAATTTGACCACTGTATATGAAAATATAGGTGTCGATTCTGGCACGATTCTCTAATTCTAAACTTAAATTTGACAACAGTGTATCCTTGTCATTCTCTATACAGAATGAAAAGGAGAAACTGATGTTAAATTTAGTTTTCAGTTTAGAGAATCACGCCAGAATCGATACCATAGCCGTGGGACGCATGTCCGTTTCATCTTTTCCCCGTGCGAAAATAAGTTCCCCTTCAATAAATGTTTCGTTACATTTAAAGTTCGTTACAGTGTTTCGTGACGTCTGGAGTATGCCTGAACGTCGGTGGTCACGGCGTGGCCATCGGCTTCGCTGCCATCTTGCTGCCTCAGCTGCGGCAACCCGGTTCTCTCATACCCATCGACGACTCCTCAGGATCATGGATCGGTAAGTTTCGTCATCATAATTCGAATAGGGAAAAAAAAGTTTGGGTCAAAAAACCCGTTAGCTACGGTTAACTCACTAAATATCTGTGCACGTTAGCTACACATAAAATGCGGTTATCAACGGTTAATTATCCAACTTCGACTTAAAAAACAGTATGTGTTTGTTCTTTTTTTAAAGTCGTAATTGGTTGGCGCTAACGACTGCAGATACAGCCGGGACCAACGGCTTAACGTGCCTTCCGAAGCACGACGGAGCTGGAGATGGTAAATATTTTTCCAACTCAACCAATAACCGACCAGTTCAAAGGTTGTCAACTCTTAGTTTACTGAAATGTATATACTTCAAAAACATTATAGCAATCCTGTAAAAATAGTTTGACAGATACTCTGGTGTTTTGAATCTCTAATATCACAATACATACAAGAACAGTACTATGACTTCGTACTAGCGCCCGAATCGACGCACGCACACAGACAAACGTCATTTACACGGCCGCTAACCAATCTTGGCAAGACAAATGTACGCAGTGCCACGTCGTGGGCCGTTTAGACTGGTCGATGGCTGAGTTCAATTAGCTGTGCCGCCGCGCCGCCCGCGTCTCTGCCTCCGTTTCGATTTCGTAACGTGGCAATAGTAACTATACACCTACAATAAAAATGTACACAAATCTGTTTCACTTTTTGTAGGTACTAGTGATGTAACGAATATTCGCATTCGCGAATATTCGCATATTTTTGAATATTCGCATTCTCATTCGCATTCGCAAAATCTCTGCGAATGTTTTGCGAATATGAATATTAGAAAAAAACAATTTGAAGAAGTTGTAGTTCTGCCTTTCCTTGAATATTCATTGTTACACAGTTTGCATTTAGCTTGTTCAACATCGCAAAGTGTGAAATAAGTCCATGTTTCACTAGAATTAGATTTACTCATGTTAATAAATCACTATTACCACTCACAATCACTAACCTCAAAATTCACTTGTTTTGTTTACGGAAAGACCGGTGCGAGCGGAATGACACTTCAGTCGGATGAGATGAGTTCATATCAACTCGGCAATTCGAACGAGACTGCCACAATGCCATAGACAATTGGCGCCAATTTAAAAAAAAACTAAATATTCGCATTCGCATTCGCGAATGTCGGTACCAGACATTCGCATTCGCGAATGTTCAAAAAATGACATTCGTTACATCACTAGTAGGTACCAACCCTAGAGATCCGCTCAGTCGTAGGTATAAATTTCAAGAAAACGGCTGAGTTACGCTGCTGCTCTTGTATGTATTGTGCTAATATTTTGACAGATACTCTAGTGTCACAAGCGTCTACCTATATGTATAAGCCATAGATAAACGATTGGTCTATCATACATATATCTATGGTATAGGCTTTTATGTAAGCGTGATGCAGCATCTCCTACGCCGTTCCTTGGATTATTTATACAGGCGCCGTATCAACCGGCTATCCAGTTAACCATAGCTGGTTTTTATATTTTTTCAGCCATACTGACAGTCGGCTCTATCCGTACGCATGCCAGGCAAGACAACTCCCGCTATACTCCTCATCACTGTCGTATAATGACTTCAGTGCACTCTAGTTTTCAAACGATTCTTTTATGTAGTTAACTTAGATCAGTTATTACTGATAGGTATAATGATAATGATAAGTGACTAATAGGTTCCTTGGATATGCTGCTACTGCTGCCTGCTTTGATAAAATTCACTTATCTACTTTTCAAGAGAAAATATGTACAGGAATAAAATTAAGATGTAATTATATCTTTTCAGCTTCCATCCTGGGCTCCGCACTGGTCGCTGGCAACTTTATAGCACCTACTCTCATGGCTAACTACGGCAGAAGGACTGCCAACATGGTCAGCATCATACCCATGATAGTCGGATGGGTGTGCGTCCTCACCGCGAATAGCGTAGCGAGCTTACTCGTTGCCAGATTTCTTCAAGGAGTCTCCATTGGTATGGGCACGACTATAGGACCTGTTCTCATAGGAGAATACACCAGCCCCATCAACAGAGGCGCCTTCTTAACTGTGATATCCTTAACAATAGCAATAGGAGTACTCATAGTGCATACCTTAGGTTCATACCTGACGTGGCAGTGGACAGCGTTAGTCTGTTGTTTCATAGCGTTCATTAACTTGATAATCGTGATATACTCCCCAGAGTCACCCAGCTGGTTAACTGATCAAGGAAGGTACGAAGAAAGTAAGGAAGTCTTTCGGTGGTTAAGGGGAGACAGAGAAGAGGCAGAACTTAAAGAAATGATTGAAGCGAGCACAATTATGAATGAATCCAAATTTGAAGCGCAGATTTCGCAGACGTTCATGAAGAAATTGACGGCTAACGTAGCTTATTTCAATTCTACGATTAGGAAAAAGGAATTTTACAAGCCTATTTTCATAATGGTCCACATCTACACGCTCGGGCAGTGGGCAGGAGCTAGCATTATCACTTCTTACACGAAAGACATTTTTGAGAATATCGTAGGAACCGAGACTAACATTGCAGCTATGATTATCGCTTTGGACACACAAAGGATCATTTCGAACGCAGCAGCACTGATCGTGATCAAGAAGATTAAAAGGAGGACGATGTTGTTCGCGACCGTTGGGATAAACATAATAGCGTTTCTGGTAATCGCAGCGTATGTTTACTGGAAGACTCGCGGCATGTTGCCGTTCGATCACCCGTTTATAGGAATCATATTGATCCACATCCACATGTTCTCGATAGCGACGGGGACAGTGCCGCTGCCCTTCATCATAGCCGGCGAGTTGTTCCCGCTGGAGTACAGGAGTCTGGCAGGAGGTATCAGCGTGCTCTTCCTCTCTTCCAACCTCTTCATCACAATTAAAACCCTACCCTTATTTTTAAGCACCATAGGTCTTCCTGGAGCGTATGTGCTGTATGCAATTGTAGTAGGATACTGCTTAATCGTTGCTGGGATATTTCTGCCAGAGACGAAAGACAGAACTCTTCAGGACATCGAGGACGAGTTTAGAGGCAGACCATTATATCCTGACGAAATAAAATCCGTGCAGTCGCTCACCTCTTTGAATCTATACAATATGGATAGGAGATGCAGTGCCCCTGTACTATGAATGATGTTTTGTATGTGATTTTGTGTAAGAGTTTAAAAACGCCATAGATAGCAATGTCAAACATCCATAATGCTATAGGTTTTCGTTTTTCTATTACACGTCCGTAAGTAATTGCTTGAAAATAAAGCCCTTTTTTGTTTCATAGTACTTCTGGTGAGTTCCGAATCTGGTGAATTGAGAATCTGGTAAACTGTTCATAAAGGGAATCACTTGTCCTTGTTGGTTTTTGAATAATATTTCAAATAGCTAGCCCGAGTTGGCGACTCGTAAGAAATCTGATTCTGACGAAAAACTAGAATTTATTTTAACCCCATTTTTTTATTATTAGAATTGGATGGTCATTCATCGGCAATTGGCATGTTTATTTATGTAACGTTTGTTGCAAAGCATAATATATATTGTATTCAATAAGTAACTAAAGCAGTGGTAATGATTCCATTCATCTTTCATATGTTATTAGGTATTTTGCTTGTAAGGTTGAATTTCAAGAAATGTAAGTAAAATATTTGAGAAAATTATTCTGGAACAATTAATGCCTCATTTCAACCTAAATAAACTTTTGCATAGGAAACAATTTGGTTTTACCAGAGGTAGATCTACTACTGATGCGGGTGTTGCACTTGTAAGGAGTATATTGGAGGCTTGGGAGAGGTCGCAGAATGTTCTTGGAGTGTTCTGTGACTTATCCAAAGCTTTTGATTGCGTTGATCATCGCACGCTGTAATTGTTAATTAATTATGGAGTCAAAGGTACTGCATATAAATTAATACAGTCGTATCTCAGTTCCAGAATTCAAACTGTAGAGGTAAATGGTGTTAGATCATCTGGATCTCATGTGGAAATGGGCGTTCCCCAGGGTTCAATTTTGGGTTCCTTTCTGTTTCTAGTATATATAAATGATTTGCCATTTTTTGTAGAAAATTTGTGTGAGATAGTATTATTTGCTGATGACACATCTTTATTATTTAACGTTGACAGGCGCAAGAACAACTATGACGATGTTAATAATGCTCTCTCGCAAGTTTTGCAATGGTTTACTGTTAATAATCTAAAGCTAAATGCTAATAAAACCAAGTGTATTAAATTTTCTTTACCTAATGTAAAAGTTGAACATATTGAAATTAAATTAAATAATAATAAATTAGATTTAGTAGACTCAACTACATTCTTGGGTATAACTATAGACTCAAAACTGCAATGGAATCATCACATTACGCTTTTGGCTGGTAAACTTAGTTCAGCAGCTTATGCCATAAGAAAGATAAGACAACTTACTGATACAGAAACTGCCAGGACGGTATATTTTAGTTACTTTCATAGTATCTTATCATACGGCATTATACTCTGGGGAACAGCAGCTGATATTGAAAGTATATTCATTCTACAAAAAAGAGCTGTGAGATCTATTTATCAATTGAGTAGCCGAACATCTCTTAGAGAAAAATTTAAAGAAATCGGCATTTTGACTGTTGCTTCTCAATTCATTTACAATTGTATACTCCTCGTTAAAAATAATATCAATTTGTATACCAAAAACAGTAACGTGCATAATTTTAACACAAGGAATAGAAATAAGCTTGCATTGCCACCCTACAGGTTACAGAAGGTTTACCGATCTTTTATGGGTCAAGGTATACATTTTTATAATAAAATTCCTGATGCCATTCTTGAGTTACCCATAAATGAGTTCAAATGTCACATTAAAAATTGTTTACTTAATAAAGGCTATTATACTATTAAAGAATACTTAAATGACAAAACTGCATGGCTGTAACTGTAAATTTGTTTTGTATTTGTTTGCAGTGTCGTACAGATGAATTACCTGAATTCTAAGTAACTATTTTACTTGGTTTGAGTGGTTATGGGTAGTCATGCTCTCTTAAAAATCTCTTCGGCGGTGTCGTGTGAGGCGGGTCGTTGCGTTCCCTGCAATATGGTTGAGCGAAACGATGGCTGGTTCATGCGTCATGCTCGTGAACGGGTGCTGCCAGCGGAGATGAGTCTGCTCTATACTACTTTATTATTATTATAATGATAATTAATTATTTAATTTAAATTTTATTTGTACTTGTATTTATACTGTATGGCACAGCAATCAAAATCAAAAAATTTAGGTGAACATTTATTATTTCTGAGATAAAGATTTAATGGTGGTGTGGATTCTGGCATGGTTCTCTAGACCTGAACTTTGGTTTTGCAGCGGTGTATCCTTGTCATTCTCTATACTGAGTGAAGGGGGGCACTGATGTTGGGTTTGGTTTTGGGTTTGGAGGGTAGTGGCAGAGTCGACACTAGTGTTTAGGTAACCACATGCATGTGTCCTACAGTTGTGTTTATAGTTTTTTTATAGTAATGTACACTGGTACTTAATTTTTTTTTCCCCTATTTTGCTATCTAGTATCCATATGTGGTTATGGGTAGTCATACTCTCTTAAAAATCTCTTCGGCGGTGTCGTGTGAGGCGGGTCGTTACGTTCCCTAAAAAATGGTTGAGCGAAGCGATGGCTGGTTCATGCGTCATGCTCGTGAACGGGTGCTGCCAGCGGAGATGAGTCTGCTCTTGCTACATTGGGTACTATTAATCGTTGTATTTAACTTGAATGGTACATTTGTTTTTATGCCTAAACAGTGGGACACGGCATTCCTAAACTTTTTTCATTTTTAAATCTGTTTTTTATATTTTATAGTCATAATTGTTTTATCATTTACATTTGTAATGGAAAGTGACTTCATGGGTTATCTCATATTGAACTCGTTTTTCAAATTGACGACTCTGTATATAATACAGGGAGAAAAAAACAGCCCTTGCTGAGTTTCTTGCCGGTTCTTCTCAGTACAAGGTCTCCCGCCGTAGATTTGCGAACCGATGGCGTAGCTTTTTGACATTCACAAGTGCTTGTAACAGCCTAGACTGAATAAACGATATTCAATTTTGAATTTTGAATGTCAGTCTTATTTCACTGATTGACATTTAGTGATTTAGTTGACGTTACTTCTACTATGAGAGGGTGGCCGAAATTGTTTAATTTTCAAACACATCGAATGAAGAGAACGAAATTACATACTCTGCAGATTGGTTCAGGAAGTGTTCACAAGATTTTGCACGAGCACCTTTGCGTAAGGAGGATAGTTTCCCGCTGGGTGCCGCACAACCTCACCGAAGCTCAGAAGCAGGCCCGTGTGGATTGATGCAGTGATGATACAAAAAAAATATGCAGGCTCGTCACGGCGCGTTTACGATATTATGACAGGTGACGGATCATGGATTTATCAATACGATCCAGAAACAAAGCGACAGTCGACAGTTTGGCTGTTTCAAAATGAACCAACGCCTACGAAAGTTAAGCGATCGAGGAGCGCAATGAAAATGTTGATCGCTAGTTCTTCACTTTGACGGGATACCTAATTTCAATTCCACTTCGAGACCAAATCAGTATCAACGCCGAATGGTTAGCACAAAATGCCTACCAAAAGTTTTTTCTGCAATGAACAAGAAGCGACCTAACACCGTGCTCCGCCGGGTCCTTCTTCACCACGACAACGCGCCCGCGCACTCTGTGATCAAAACGAAGGACTTCCTGGACTCCACACCAGTCAGTCTTGGGACACCCTCATTACAGTCCTGATTTGGCTCCGTGTGACTTCGTTTTATTCCCTAAAATAAAAAATCAGCTCAAAGGGATACAGTTTTCATTGCCGATAGAAGCGCTAGCAGCGTTTGAGAAGGCCGTGGAAGAGGTGTCTTCGGAGGACTGGAAAAAATGTTTTGAAAATTGGTTTAGACGCATGAAACTTTGTATAGAGGCTGGTGGAGAGTTCTTTGAAAAGATAGTAAAAAAATTTTTTTTCATTGAAGTAAGTTTTTTAGTTTCTCAAAACTTTCCGAGTGTCCCACGTATGTTTCATCGCTGCCTGAAACCGACTACCATTTAGTCTCCTTCAAAACAATCCTTCATGAATTTAAGATATTTGTTAAGTGGTACATTTAATGCGCAGCACCAACACTTTTTACATTATCTTTTATTTATCTATTACGACCTCCGTGGCGGAGTGGTTTGTACGCCGAGTTTCATGGTGTCGCCGACTCGAGAGGTCCCGGGTTCGAACCCAGGTGGGGGCAGATGTTTGTTTAATGTATACGAGCATTTGTACTCCAGTCATGGATGTTTAAATATGCATTTCTATATAAATATACCTATATATGTATGTACAGTATAATAATAATTATGTATTCTATGTGCTTACTTTGGGGCTAGGCTAATTGGTGCGAGTGTTGGAAATATATCCATGTTATATCCTATGCCATACAATGTGAAAATGGGGGATCCCTAGGAGACTGTTTTGCAATATTCCTGAATTTAATGCCGGCACATCTCGTCTATTCGTGAGCGTCAGAATGGCCGGTCACTACCCATATTTTACATCGAAATAATTATAGAAAGTTGCTACCTAGTTGCTTCTAGTTGCTACTAATCGTTAAATAGTTGCTACCCCCGATTAAAACAAGCTTTTAAGCTTTTTAGGGTGACCAGCCATTCTGACGTCAGAATGGCTGGTCACCTATCCAGTGAGAACAAACTGCGTAGCTAAATAGAGATTTTTTTAAAGCAATAGTTGCTACTAGGTTGCTACCTTAATATATATCGTTTAGGACCTCCTAGCTTTTAAGGATAAAGAGTTATAATCAATTGAGCGTTCAGACATTATTAAAACTGAACGCCTGTAGAATTATACGAGCAAATTCGAAATCAAGTGCATAATGGGTATTGCATAAGCAGGCGCTGCGTAATAGAATTTATTGTAAAAGTTGTCTACTATACATTATGTAATGTATGTTTTTAGTTGTAATAATATAATGAATAATATTATTATACCGTGCGAAACAAGGTGAGCGTCAGAATGGCCGGTCACTACCCATATTTTACATCGAAATAATTATAGAAAGTTGCTACCTAGTTGCTTCTAGTTGCTACTAATCGTTAAATAGTTGCTACCCCCGA